TTGTGTATAAATAGGTGTACTAGGTTTCATTAATTACAACAATTCCTTTTCAATCATTTGTAGCAGCTTTATATCATTCATCATTTTCTCTCTTCTTCCTCAATTTCATCACCTTGCACCATAAAAATTGGTATCAGAGCACTTGGTTCTTCTGAAATTCTGGGAAACACGAGTGAAAAGTGAGTTGTGTGTTTGATTTATGTTGAATCTTCAACAAAATTTGAACAAAATCACACTGATTCTGTGGGTTTGGGAAACACTGAGTGAGATATGAAATCTGAGATTTGTGCAAGGTTTAAGATGAGTGGAGGCAGTAGTTTGAACACTAAACTTTCATTTTTTGATGGCAAAAGCTGGAACATATGGATGATACAGATGCATGTGTTGTTTGGTGCTCAAGATGTTCTGGATCTTGTTATCAATGGTTATGTTCCAGTTGCAGCAGATGCTACTGAAGAACAAAGATCTGTAGAAATACCTACGAGGAAGAGGGATCAGAAAGCTCTGTTTTATATCCATCAATGTGTGGATGAAAGTGTGTTTGAGAAGATTGTTGATTCGACGACGTCGAAAGAGGCATGGGATATACTGGTCAGATGTTACGGTGGTGACGCGTCAGTGAAGAAGGTAAAACTTCAGTCTCTGCAAAAGCAATATGAGAATCTCAACATGAAGAACAGTGAGAAAATATCTGAGTACACCTCCATAATGATTCTGATCACCAATGAGATGAAAGCTTGTGGAGAAACACTTTTTGAACAGGTAATCATAGAGAATATTCTGAGGTCACTTACTCCTCAGTTTGATTACATTGTCGTCTCTATTGAACATTCTAAAAATATGGAAACCATGAGAATAGAAGAGTTGCAAAGCAGTCTAGAAGCACAAGAGTTACGTTTGACTGAAAGAACTTCTGAGAGGGAAGTTGAGCAAACTCTGAAGGCTTCTTTTGTCAAGAAGGACCAGAAGCAGAATGGACGTGGTGATAAATTCTAGAAGTCAGAAACCTCAACTTCTGATGAAAAGAAATATCAGAAGGGAAAGAAAAGGTATGACAAGAAGAAGGTTCAATGTTACTGTTATAAATAGTTTGGCCATTTTGCCAGAGATTATAGAAAAATAGAAAGGAAATCAAAAGAAGAAAATATAGCTAGAGGAGATTCTGATGATGAACCTGTGCTACTGATGGCTTCTGATTCTGATGGAAAGTGTTCAGAAGATTGGTGGTATATGGACACTGGTTGTTCAAACCACTTAACTAGGAACAAAGAATGGCTGATAGACTTTGACTCCAGAAGGAGAACAAAGATAAGATGTGTTGATGATAAGTACCTTAATGTAGAAGGTATGGGAAATGTCAGAGTCATAGTGAAGAATGGAAAAACATTCTGATCAAAGAGGTTTGGTATGTTCCTGGAATTAAAAGCAATCTGATGAGTGTGGGTCAGCTCATTGAAAAAGGGCTCTCAGTTGTTATGAAGGATAACCTCTTGACGTTATATGATTCCAATCAGAAGTTGATTATGAAGTCTGAGCAGGGAATCAACAGAACATTCAAGGTGAATGTAGAAACAGCTGAAGCAAAGTGTCTTAGTGTAGAAGGCGCTGAAGGTGACAGTAAGCTGTGGCGCAAGAGTTTGGGGCACTTGAGCTATAGAATCTTAGGGCATCTAAGTTCTATGAAGCTTGTACATGGCATTTCAAAGATTGTGAAGCCTCAGAAGTCATGTGAGATATGCATGAAAGGCAAGCAACCTAGATTTCCATTTGCATCAAAAGTAGCCCCCAGAGCGAAGCATGCTTTGGGAGTAGTATATTATGATGTGTGTGGACCATTTCCAGTACCTTCACTTGGAGGAAACAAATATTTTGTGTCTTTTGTGGACGAGTTCACAAGAATGACATAGGTAACACTCATCAAGTTCAAGCATGAAGTGTTTACTGAGTTTCAGAAGTTCAAGGTGAAGGCTGAGAAGCAGAGTGGTCAGAAGTTGAAGATTCTGAGAACGAATGGTGGAGGTGAGTATAACTCTACATAGTTCCAGAAGTTATGTGAGGAGAATGGAATAGAACATGAGGTTACTGCTCCATATACTCCTCAACACAATGGTCTTGCTGAAAGAAGAAACGAAACTTTGCTTAATATGACCAAAAGTATGCTGAAAGAGAAGAAGCTACCTCACATGTTATGGGGAGAAGCTGTTGCAACATCAACATATGTTCTGAATAGGTGTCCAACGAAGAAGCTGAAGGAAATTGTTCCTTTAGAAAAGTGGACTGGAGATAAGCAAAGTGTTAGCCATCTGAGGGTGTTTGGTTCTGTATGCTACAAACACGTTCCAGAAGCTAGAAGACAGAAACTGGATGATAAAAGCAAAGTAATGTTACTGGTGGGGTACCACAGTACAAGTGCCTATAAGCTTTATTGTCCAGAAACCAACAAAGTTGAAATCAGCAGAGACATTATTGTGAAAGAGTCAGAAACATGGGATTGGAATAAGCCTTAATCAGATTCTGGTGTAATGCCAACACCAGAGTTAGTTTCTGAAGATTCTTTAGAAAGTTCTGAAGACGAGTCAGAGTCAGAAGATGAATATGATTCTGAAGACTCTGAAGATGAATCAGAATCTCAGGGAGATTCTGATAGTGGATCTGATTCTGATCCAGATTTTGATGATGATTCAGAATCTGGTGGTGATTATATTTCTGGAAGGGAAAATTCTGAAGACATAGGGTCTGGAGGACAAGCTTCCAGAAGTAACTCTGAAGGTGGTAATTCTGAAGGAAGTAGTTCTGGAAAAGGTACATAAGCTAGCACTGTTCCAAGTTTTGGAGAAGCTTCATAACAAGTTCAGAGGCCACAGATAATCAGACAAATACCAAGTAGGTTTGCATATTTTAGCATGTTGCATGATACTAAAGTAGATTTTGAAGGAGAAGTCGTTCAGTGTGTCATGTTAGTAGATTTTGAACCAGTAGGTATTGAAGAATCTCTCAAGAAGAAAGTATGGTTGAATGCCATGAAGGAAGAACTTGAGGCTATTGAAAAAAACAAAACTTGGAAGTTGACAAAGCTTCCAGAAAAGAAGAAAGTCATCAGCGTCAGATGGGTTTTCAAGGTGAAGCTTAAGCAAGATGGATCAATTGGAAAACACAAAGCGAGACTAGTGGCTAGAGGTTTTCTTCAAAATCCTGAGTTAGATTACTTTGAGGTGTTTGCGCCTGTAGCTAGACATGAAACAATCAGACTGGTGATTGCTTTAGCTGCAAACAAAAATTGGCCTTTGATACATCTGGATGTGAAGTCTGCATTTATGAATGGTCCGTTACAAGAAGAGGTATATGTGTCACAACCTTCTGGATTTGTGAAAAAGAATCAGGAAGGAATGGTATACAAGTTACATAAAATTGATTCGTTTTTCAAGAGGAAGAAGTTTCAGAAGTGTGAGATGAAATATGGCGTGTATGTGTAGCATTCTGGTGGAAATATGATTCTGGTGTGTCTATATGTTTATGACATATTGCTAACAGGAAGTTGTCCAGAAGATATAATCAAGTTCAAAGAAGTTCTGATGAATGAATTTGAGATGACAGATCTGGGAAATATGGTATATTTTCTAGAAATGGAGATTCTGTACTTAGAGAAGGGTATCATTCTACATCAGCTGAACTATGAACTTGAACTTCTGAAGAGATTTAAGCTGCAGAATTGTAAAGTTGCTGTAACACCATCAAAAACCAATCATAAATTGGATTCTGATTCTGATGGTGATTCTGTGGATGCTACGACCTTCAAGCAGTTGGTTGGTTCTCTCAGGTACTTGTGCAATACCCGACCTAACATTTGATATGTAGTTGAAATGGTTAGCAGATTCATGAGTAAACCAAAGTGGTCTCATTGCCAAGCTGCCGTCAGGATTCTGAGGTATATCAAGGGAATTCTGAAATATGGAATGTTATTTCCTTCTGGAAGAAAGAAAAAACCAGAATTAGTGAGTTATTCTGATTCTGACTGGTGTGGAGATAAAGTTGATAGAATAAGTATTTCTGGTTACTTGTTCAAGTTTCTGAGAGGTCCAATTTCTTGGAGTTCCAAGGAACAGCCTGTTGTGGCTCTGTCAACGTGCGAAGCTGAGTACATTGCAGGTGCTGTAGCTGCATGTCAAACTGTTTGGCTTCTGAATTTTCTGGAGGATTTGAAGATTGAGATAGAGAAACCTCTGAAGCTGTTGATTGATAACAAGTCTGCAATCAATCTTACCAAGAATCCAGTGTTGGATGGAAGAAGCAAGCATATTGAGACGAAGTATCATTTTTTAAGAAGTCAAGTGCATAAAGGAGTGTTAGAAGTTCTGCACTGTAGAACCCAGAAGCAGCTGGCAGATGTTCTGACAAAGACAATCAAAACAGACCAATTTCTTCGTTTGAGAAATGAAATTGGTGTTGTTAGTTTCTGATAGATACTAAATTATGAGATGGTATTAAAGTGGTAATTTAGTATTTACTATATTTGGAATATTCTCTCTTAGGGTCTATATGACATTCTTATCTTTACTATTTTTGTGTATAAATAGGTATACTAAGTTTCATTAATTACAACAATCCATTTTCAATCATTTGTAGCAGCTTTATATCATTCATCATTCTCTCTTCTTCCTCAATTTCATCACCTTGCACCAACATATTATACTTTGAATGCTTGAAGCAAGTCAAGGGTGTCTTACATGCATAAAAACACTTGCCTTTTTCCTTCCATGCAAAGCATCAAGTGTCTATTGCAAAACATACACCATAACAAATATTACTCATACACTACAGCATCGGTACACCATACACTTTATTACTTGACATCATATGCAACCTTCGTCAAATGTATGTTAACCAGGAGGCAAAGACTTGACCCCACACTTTCACTCCCCTCTTCTATAAATATGCTAAAGTTTCTCAGAATGATACACGCACAAATTTCATAAAACTACTCTTTCTATCATCCAAAAACCATGTGGTCTCCTATAACCGATGCCATTAGAATTATATTTTCAACAATTGTGCAACATTGCATCCATAAAGATTTTCATGAAGCAGTGGCTAAAATGTCCATCATTCATGCTTTTCTCTTCTTGGTACAAATACCCTTCTTCATCAAATATATATATATATATATATATATATATATATATATATATATATATATATATATATATATATATATATATATATATATAGACTTAAATCACAAATATATTATTTTCATACAACGAACTAAGACCATAAACAATCTGAGACAACTCTTACATATACATAATTAGTTACTGAGTAACAAAATATAATTATATTTTGCTCATAACCTTTAACTATATATATTATTTTTGTCGGTTTTTTTACGATGACATTCACAGCTGATACACTCCATTGACAAGTTGGGAATGTGGCATCGTTTGCCTGTGTTCATGGGACTGTTTTACTTGCCTTCTAGGAGACATCTTCATCAACACTACAATCTCTTCAATGTTGGTCAAACACCCGTTGGAATTAGGTCTAATCCTTATGACTATCCCTACAGAAACATTCTTCCTGGAAAACAGTCTTAAATACAATTTAATGACCCTTTTGATGGAAAATTTAATGACCCTTTTGATGATAATGCTGGAAGTGAAGGCTCTTTCTTTGGCAGAAACATTCTTCCTGTGGATCAGAAGGATAAGGTCTTAATTATATATTAATTACATAAAAGAAATTATGATTATTTAAAACATATAATTTAATATTGTTTTTGTGCAGCTGTTGAAGCCAGATCCAATGGTGGTGGCCACAAAACTTCTGGCAAGAAAAACATTCAAAGACACTGGAAAACAATTCAATGTGTTGGCAGCTGCTTGGATTCAGTTTATGATACATGATTGGATTGATCCTTTGGAGGACACTCAACAGGTGTGAATGGATTTCACCACCTTAAAATTATCAAGAAATTCTTTATATTATTTTTAATAAACAATTAAATATTCTGACAAATTAATCACCTAAAAAAACTGTCAATTACCACGAAAAACGGTATTGGAAGGTGCCGATATCATAAGAAATCGCAAAAACTTTTTTTGTGTTCGCGACAGTTATTTAAAACCTTTATAAAGACTAACATATTGTGATTAATTTTATTTTATATTAGATTGAATTCACTGCACCACATGAGCTTGCAAACCAATGTCCATTAAAATCTTTCAAGTTCTTGAAAACAAAGGAAATTCCAACTGGATTCTATGATATTAAAACTGGACATGCAAACATTCGCACACCTTGGTGGTAAGAACATGTTGAATTTCCACACATATATAGATAAATATATTGAAGTTACACGTGACATGAAAGAACATGTATATAATATGACAAGGATTCAAGTGTGGTATATGGAAGCAGTGATAAAGTTTTGAGCCAAGTGAGGACTTTTGAAGATGGAAAGTTAAAAATATCTGAGGATGGTAACCTTCTTCATAATGGAGATGGAGTAGCAATATCGGGTGATGTTCGCAATAGTTGGGCTGGTGTTTCAGTTTTGCAAGCCCTTTTTATTCAAGAACACAACTAAAACTTTATTTTCTTTTTTGATGTTTATACTTGAGATTTGTAGAATTTGATTGAAATTTCATGAATTTTGAAGGAGGCTAGAAGCTGATAGGTTTTACACAAGCAACTTCAATGAAGAGACATACACCAAAAAGGGATTTGAATGGGTGAACACAACTGAGAGCTTAAAGGATGTGATTGATCGCCATTATCCAGGAATGACAGACAAGTGGTTGAATGCTTCAAGTACTTTCTCTGTTTGGGATGCACCTCCCAACATACCAAATCCAATTCCAATTTACCTTCGTACTCCTAGTTAATAAATTTCACTAAATGTTTGCGTCGAAAGGAATGTGTAGAGAGTTGTTGGTAGCACTCTCTGTTGTGTTTGTGCTCATGTTTATTTGATGGATGTGTGTCTTTCATACTAGAAAATCTAGTTTCTGATTTTCCAATAAGCTCAACTTCATTTGTATTGTTACATTGTATTAATGGAGTTTTGAGTAATGCTATTCCATTTTTGTTCTATAATTTTGACTCTTACGTCTTCATTTTCCTCTAAAATGCAATTCTATGTTGAATGTTTGTGTAGTTACTGCTCTAAGATATTGATAGTGCACAAACTAAAGAGAAGGGTAAACCCGTCATTTGGAGAGTTTATTAAAGGAGAAATAAAATAAGTAAGTAATATAATATTAATGTGTTAGTTTAAATTCAAATAGTTACTTATTGGCAGATGTGTAGATTGTATTTATGTTGCTCTTTATTGTCTTTCATGATATGTGGGAAGTTTATTTGAAAGTTACTAGGCTAGAAGAAGTTATCTTCTGAGAGAGAAAACTGCTCTTGTAATTTTTCAAATTGTATTTCATTTGTTTTATCAGTAAAAAATCGCAAGTTCCTTGCAATTTCCATTTCTCTATAATCCTGTTTTATCGGGCACTATTAGTTTCTATCAAATTGGTCCGACCTACCGGATGCCACCAAAGAAGATGGAGGCCAAAGTAACTGCACTTGAAGAGAAAATCACAACTTTAGAGGTTTCTTTACATGAAATGCAGAATCAAAATAAAGATAATCAGGAGAAGATCATCTCTTTATTAAATTCGCATAAGGAGAAGGATATGGAAGAATCGTCGAACAATCATGATTCAGTTGATACCAAAAAGAAATTTTTTGACTTACATGGTGAAGCTTTGGATGAATTTCGCCTATTTGTGAAGAAGGTGGAATTACCAATGTTTCATGGTGATGATCCTGCTGGTTGGATCGCTAGGACTGAAGTCCATTTCAATGTGCAGAATACTATACCTGAAATCAAAGTAAATTTGGCACAATTATGTATGGACGGTCCTACAATCCATTTTTTTAAAGGACTGTTGGAGGAAAAGAAACATTGACATGGGAGAATTTGAAAGATGCACTTCTTGAGAGATATGGTGGTGTAAGTGATGTGAATGTATTTGAACAAATTTCTTCGCTTCAACAGGGAGGAACAATTGAAGAATACATTGAAGATTTTGAGAGGTTGGTAGCACAACTTCCCCGATTACCCAATGACCAATATTTGGGTTATTTCGTTCATGGTTTGAAGGAAAATTTTTGGGGAAAGGTTCGCAAAATGATTGTTATGGGTCTTGTGGCGGTAGAAATGTGCAAGACTAAGCCATTGGATTGACTAGACTTTATACAAATCAAAATAAAAATCGTCACCGCGCTTTATTGTTTCCAAAGGAATGGGAAAAGAGCGAATAACCCAAAAAGAGGGGGAAAGATTCAAGGTAAGGGGGTTGGTTATGCAAAGGGAAGGTATTAGCACCCTAAACATCTACGGTACTCCGCAGGAACCTGTTTGAAAAATTTGTATATTTTTTGCTATAAAAATGTGTTGTATATAAAATGGATGGTGGAGGTGAGAAAAGAAATATTTTTATGATTTTTGCACCCACCGCGGTTGCGAACCTTTAGTGCCTACGTACCACCTTTCGTGCAATAGGGGATCAGGGTACACGTAGTTCCTCTTTTAAAAATTTGAAACACAAGTGTGTTGGTTGATTTTATGAGATAAGACATCATCGCAATTGTCCGTGTGAAAAAACATACTTACTACCCACAATCATGAGAAAAGAGAATTTGCATCATCTCAAAGTGGAGGATATGACTTGGATTTTAAAATCAACAATGTCTCACTCAACACCCAAGTGAAAAATATCTCACTTCACTACATATTATAGAAGTATAGTTGTTTGCATCACTACAAGGATTGACAAGAGTCTAATCTTTTGAGAAAAGTTTAAAGATAAAAGCCAAAGTGGCAAAATGGTTTGAAATGAGATTGATAGACTTTTAGTCTTCTCACAAAAAAAGGTCAAGGTATTATTAAATTGATTGAAATTTATTTATGAAAATGTTTCGAAGATGCATGGACCTAAGTCCAAGTTTATTATGAAAATGTTTCAAGTTTCAAAACAAGAAGAGTTTTTTTTTAAAGGAGGGAGAAGATTTTTGAAATTAAAGAAGATGGGAGGAGAAGAAGAGGCTATCCTAAAGCATAAGGTAAAAGCTAGAGATAAGAACCATCTAACCAACAAGAAGCCAATACTTGACATTATGAGTCAATATAGAATTCTCATTCTTCAGATTGAAACCAAGCAAGCAAAGATACTAGACCTCTTGAGAGAACCAAACTTCAAGTGTTTTAAGTCTTCGCAAAAATTGGGCAGAGTAACGGCTGTATATGGGTGAATTCCAGATTACAAACAAAGATCGTAATCTCAATAACCTGCACACAAAAGAAACAAACAATCCAATGTCTTGAGGTAAACCTCAAGAACTCCAGACAAAATATCAAATAAAGTCACAAAGTCTCCAAGATAGGCCAAGGTCTCTAATCCTAAGTCCAAGAAGTCCATCACTCCATAATGCAAAGGATAGTAACCATGTAGTCCAAGTATCATTAATGATTTTTTATGGTTCATGTTGATTATTATGTGTCTTTAAAAAGAAGGAAAAGCTCAAGTGAGCAAAATAAAAATGACATAAAAGTAAATGCTCAAGTGAGCAAAGATGAAAATAGCATGAAATGTAAAATGCTAAAAGTAAATGGTACATAAAGCATGAAAATAAAAGCGTAAAGTAAAGTTAATTGTTAGTAATTAGTGGTTAGTTGGATGACCATCTTGAAACTTGCATTTGGAACTCATTAGAGGATTGGTAGAACCAAAGCCTCCACACAACAAGTTGCATTTACTTTTTGTCAAGTATATAATCCATTTTGAAATTCTCACAAGGCAACATGTAATGATCAACGATGTTTAAGTGATCCGCGTTGACCAAAGGTGTTGTAGATCCATTAGAGGATTGGTAGAACCAAAGCCTCCACACAATGAATCTCAAGGTTATTGGATCAAAGAGATCAAATTAACATACTTGGGCTTGCAATCATAAGTTTGGGCCACGAATGATCATTTATTCGAATCGGGACAAAATTTAGCGCTATGTTAAGCAATCGTAAGTGGACTTATGTAGAAGTCACACCTATTTTGAGGCCGGTCAATAGCAATCTATGTACTTCATGTTTGGATAAATGATATAGAGATCACCATCCCTTAACATGTAGCACAATTAAAAAAATAAAGGGATAAGATGAAGAGGGAGGGGAATGATAAGCTAATTTGGATCATCATTTCAAAATTCTTTCATCTTTAAATTCAACCACTCCTCTAGATGGATTAAAGCACTAAACATATCATTAATCCAAAGCACCAAAAATGAATTAAGTAATTCACTCTTAGGTAGATTTGAATTGATGAACATTTATCCAACTTCATCTACATCACAAAGTCCATTGAGTTTAAAGACAAATTGGACATTTAAAATTGCAATTCAAACCAACAATCAAAAGGAGTGAGTAGAAAAAGCATTTTGGATCAAAGCTGCCCCAAAACAAGGCAAAAAAATGCATTATGTCCCTGTGTAAATCGATTTCACTATTGTGTAAATCGATTTACACAGTACAATTTTCTAAAAATTGTGCAAAATTGCTTCTGTGCAATCGATTGCACAGTTACTGCAATCGATTGCACACTGTTACAGTAGCAAAAACAACATTTTTAAAGGGCAATTTCTTGTTCAAACTTTCCATCAAACACCTTATGATCATGGATCCACTTGAGCACGAAAATTCCATCAAATTATGAGAAAATAACACCATTGAAATCACAAAATAATGCTCAAAGAATCAATCCCAAAGATCACCAAGATATCACATTGTGAAAGATGAATTATCCAACTTACCAAAGGTAGATCTAGAGAATTATCAAAACAACTTCAAGAATTTGCTTCAATTCAACCACAAGAATCAATTGACCAAGCTTAGATGTAGAGAATTGATGGATAAAAAGTGTTTGGATGAAGGTTTAGCTCAAAGATTAGTAAGCTTCAATGCAAAGCTTACTAACTTTTTGAAAATGGAGCTTTGAGTGAATTTGATAGATGGAGAGAATTGAGAGATTTTTTAGCAAGGTGGATTTGGCTATCAAAAGCTTGAAATTTGAATGAAATGAGAGCTCTATTTATAGAGTTTTAGGATTGTGATTAGTGGTAATTTGGTAACTGATTCTTGGAGCCAAAATTTGAATTAGTGATAACTCTTTCAAAAATTAGAGCCAAAATTTGAATTAATGATAATTCTTTCAAATATTAGAGCCAAAATTTGAATTAATGATAATTATTTTTAAAAATGAAAGATTGGCACTAAAATTTGAATTAATGATACATCTTTCAAAAGTGAAGGAAAATTGGAGCCAAAATTTTGACAAGTTTAAAATGCTGATTTTTTTTCAAATTTTCACGCTGTGCAACCGATTGTACTATAGTGCAAATCGATTTGCACAGTGTATTTTTTCAAAAATGGCGCAAAATGCACTATGTGCAATCGATTGCAATCTAAGAACAATCGATTGCATCAGTGAAAAAAAATAAAAAATTTTAATTCTTTTTCTTTGCAAATAGAGATTTTAGGAAAATAATACCAGAAATCCTTATTTGTCAGATACTTCGACTTGGTACCTACAAAACAAAAATATACAAAGACAAAGACAAATATTTTTTGTATTTTGATTAGAAGTTAGGCAACAACACATATACAAAATACACAACCAAGGTGCTTGGAGATTCCTCAAGAGAAAACTTAAAGATAGGAAAAAAGAGGAAGAACCAACCCTAATGTGATCTTGTTATGATCGAGTTGATATGATATGATAGAGGAATCTTAGGGGCAAAAATTGGGGTACAACAGCTGGCCTTATTTAAGTGTCTT